GGAAGGGAAGGGAAGGGAAGGGAAGGGAAGGGAAGGGAAGGGAAGGGAAGGGAAGGGAAGGGAGGGGAAGTTGTTTCTCAATTAATATTACTTCTCAAGCATCCATAGTCAACACTTTCACCTTGAAATGCTCTCACAGGATGTAATTCAGATCTTCTGTTTTTGTTATATGATTGAATTGTCTGGAAATTATGTTTTGTTTATCAGTTCACTTGAATCATTCTTTGTCACCAGAATATTTCAACTGTCTCACATGGTTCCTATCAGCTCATGTTGCTATGCAGGATAGAGGCAGACATAGCATCAATTCTGGAAACTTAGGCACCGATAGAGAAAAAAAAGAAGTTCCTGAATTGTCATTGAGAGTATTCCTCCAAAACTGGAACCATACCCAACAAGCCACAATATTTTTGACATCTGCAAATGTCTATCATGGTACTTAACACATTTTTTTTTTTGCATCTTTCCACTTCTGCCTTCTGGCACGAAGCAGAAGTAAAAGATGTCTCTGAAGACTACTTCTGTCGTGCTTCTAGACAGAGCAAAAAACTTTGCTAAAACAATAAGCACGAAAAAACAGTGATGTCTGCTCAGATGTGGGGTTAGAAGAGCATGACCATTTGGAAATGTGCCATGATAACAATTTCTCCAAAAGAAATACGGTTTCTGGAAAACAAATACTTCCACAGAAATGCACTCAGATTCCCATGGATGGAGAGCTACATATCCCACCACATGCATCAGCACAGGTGTAGGGCTGAATAACACCAAACCACATCATACCAGAACATTTTCATGCTCCCATTCTGACATTCCTCTGGCCACCTCAAAGCAGAGGCATCCAAAAGGACAAGGGGGAATGGTTTTAAACTGAGACAGAGGAGGTTTAGGTTAGATCTTAGGTGGAAGTTTTTCAGCCAGAGGGTGGTGAGGCACTGGAACAGGTTGCCCAAGGAGGCTGTGGATGCCCCATCCCTGCAGGCATTCAAGGCCAGGCTGGATGTGGCTCTGGGCAGCCTGGTCTGCTGGTTGGCGACCTGCACACAGCAGGGGGTTGGAACTGGATGAGCATTGTGGGCCTTTGCAACCCAGGCCATTCTATGATAAGACCGTGAAGGCCAGGTCTGCTGTTACACTGATCATATCCATCATCCCTCTTTTTCCTTTCCTCAGCCCTATCTCCCCTTCCCCTTCTGCTCTTCAAAATGTTGTGATTTGCCAAACGCTTCTGTCCAAGCTTTCTCTATATTTTTGCCGCCTTCTTATCATCTCTCTTGGTCTGTAATCTGCAAAATCTCTTTGACACAAATAACTACAAGCTGCTGTTGGAGGCTGGGCAGAGGTAGCAGAGGGCTTCCTGCTGAAAGGCAATCATCGTCAAAATGCCATCTGCAATCTGCTGATAATTGCAGAGGTGGTTGAAGCCAACAACTGGGCTCTGAGCAGGGGCTCTGAGCATCCTTATTTTGTGCTTTTCTTTCTTCTCATTCTCTTTGTAGTCTCTCTCTGCTATTTCCTCTGAAATGTTCAGCCGGCTGGATATCGCATCCACAGGTTCTTATGCTGCAGACAGATGGATTTCATGCAGTTGGTGCCTCGGATCTCACTTTGCTCAGCCAGGGAAGGAGTGCATTTCTCTCTTAATTTCTTCGATGAGTAGGAGAAACTGGCCGCTATCAGCATGTAGTGATTTGAACTCTTTCAAAATGAACCAATAAGCTCCCTTCCTGGCAACACTAAAATTACAAAAACCGCATGGTTGTAACATCACAGCTCATTCTCAAGACCTGCTGATGGAAGACCACCACTTTGCAAAGCCCCACAGGAAGGCGAAGGAAACAGCAATTGAGCTCAGCATCTTACCTTGTGCAGAGGCTTGGTTTAGATGAGAGAGGCTGATAAATTGTCTGCCCTTTGATTGAAACAGAACAAGAAAAGAAGACATAATTACTTTGCCATGTTTGCAGAAGGACCTGCTTTCAGCTTCAGAGATGAGTGGGAGCCCACTGCAGCCAGCCAACAGTCCCCACACCTGGATCCCTATGTGTCGTGATGGTTTTAGTATGTTTTGCTGTGAGGTATTCCTAGATGGATTGACTGTTAGCTTGCATAAACCTTGACTGCCTTGTAAATAAAAATGTAACTTCCTAGCCACTCATTCAGACCCTGCTCTGTCTAGCTCTGATGCCCTGTCTTGGATCAATGGAGGATGAGACGTGAATGGCCCCACTGAGAAACCACTGTTGCAGTATTATTTGAAGCAGAAAACCTGGGATGCTCTTTGCTGTGATTGTCCCAAGGCTTGTGAAATATTTTTTGCTTGGGGATATGTTTTAAAAAGAGGCAGTGACTCTCTAGTAAACTAAGACCCACTGAAAAGAGCTTTTGAACGCTGCCAGGGATATTTACACATTTGCCAAAGGAGTGGACTACTGGTAAAGAATTAAAAAACATGCATTGCTTTCAATCCATGCTACTCTTTGACTTCCTGCTTAGCAGCAGTGCGGGGAGGAAGGGAGGGCTGCTCACCCCTAGGTTATGCCTCCCTCCTCTGAGAGCTTGAGACCTGAGATGGTTTTCACATACTATTTGCACCCAGAGTTTCTCTTGTGCTGGCATCTGGCTGCACTGCTGACAAGGGCAGGAAGAGAGAAAACATCTTCATGTTGTCCTCACCGTGAGAGGCGGCTAGATTAAGTGATATCCTGGGCTTATATGCGGAGTTTATTATTTTAGGGCACCAAAATCTGAACCCAATAGCTGACTGATCCGTGCTCATGCAAACATGGGCTGTTTGAGTTCACAGGGAGCTCAGCATTTCTGATTCTCGGCCCAACACAGATTAGCTGCAGACCCTCTTTATCAATTAAGCTCCTTGTCCTCCCTGATGGTAAAGCTTCCTTTGTGGTTTGCATGTGGCAGCTTTGAATCTTAGCTTGAATCTGACCCATCTTTGTGCTGTTTGCAAGTCAGCAACGTGAGCCTGGATTGCAGAGAGCTGAAGGCAGCAGTGTCCAAGTGATGCTCGGCACAACACAGTGCTTCAGAGCACCATCACTGCAAGCACACTCAGAAAATTGACATCCATAACACAAAGAGAAAATGGAATCCACTTTACGGAGAAAAAATCCAGAGCAAGAAGGTGATGATGGAACTGTTCACCCCATATTAAGAAGCTGATGGGGCATAAACATTTGTTTTCCTGCGCTTTGAACTTTTCCCAATTGGTTGACTAAATTTCAGACAATAGAAGTACTCCAGTTCCTACTGGCACACAGAGGTATTGCCTGCATCGCTCCAGACACTACCTGAGCTGCTGAGGACTTCATAAGGACACAAAGCTGGAGACTTACTTTGGGTGGGGCAGGAGGAGGAGGTCTACTCCTGTTTTTCGGATTGTTTCCTGATGTAAATTTCTCACTGGACATCAGCTGGTTTTTGCTCCCGATCAACCCCATCCTGGAAGAAAGACCAGAAAGTATTTTATAATTAAATACTTCTTGAGGAACAATGTAAGCAGTGAGAGACAAAGCAGCCTTCTCACTCATGAAGAAGAAAGTGAAGAAGACATGAATGAGGGGCAATGGGACAGTGGATGGATGAATCTAAAACCACCCCATCAATCCTACCTATAAAGTGTGGGCTTAGAGCTTGATTCAGTTGGCCATGTGCAGTGCCCCAGTACTATCTGAGATGCTCTAATGTCTCACAAGGTGTGGGTCTCCTGCACATCATGAATTATGTTTTCCATATAGATAGATGTGGGTTAGAGAATACACGTCCCAGGTGCCTGGAGAAGTGCTAGACACAGGTTAATAAATCTCTTTCCATGAGCTATCTTCTGGTCCACTCTAGGTCTTTCCATACTTGTGCTTGAGGCCTGGTTTAATTTGCAGCCCTGAAATGTAATTTCATCTCTGATCAATAATCCCAGCATAATACTGGGTGTAGGTAGGCAAAATAGCCAAACCACAGCGATCTTAGTCTTCTCAGCTCCCTAAACATGTAGGGAGCAGTTGAGGCTAGCATTGTTGAAAAGCTATTGGCAAAAGCATATAAAGTATCTACATCACTAGATCATCAAATTTTGCCCTGGTCCCTGCTTTGAAAAAAAAAAAAAGACATTGAAATATATGGTCTAAACATCAAGGAAAAGACAACAACAACAACAACAAATCAAACCCAAACTTCAAATCTTTGTAGCTGGTCAAAGACGCATTGACTTCTGTTTTTGCCAAAATACCTCAAGGTCTGCAACAAATATAAAGGACTAAAGATCCAGGGAACAACATTAATAATCATCTCCCCCAAATGTGAGTCTGATGCTGCATCATGATAGTTAAAATCCAACAGGTGCATTCTAAAAAATTTCCAGCAAATCAGACTCGTGGGAAAAAAATTATTCAAGTAAAAGTGACATTTTGTTTTCCAGTATGGTTCTTATGTTTCAAAATCTGGGACCTTTGGAATGAGAAAGTTTCCAGCAGAGCCATCTCAGTATTTTAAGGTGACCAAGAAAAGTCCTCAGTCCTCGAGAGAGAAGGAGATGGTGGCCCCAAAAAGAAAACCATGGGCTTCAAGAGAGGTGGAGAAGGTGAAGACCCCAAGGAGGAGGAGACCACAAGCTCTGAGATGATGATCTCAAGATGAGCAGATGAGGAGCCTCAAGAGCAGAGAAGTTGGAATACCCCAACTTCTTTTTTGAACTGCCTTCTCCCTTCTGCTAAAATGAAGAAAATGGGTAGATCCACATGTGTTATTTTCCCCAAACAAAAGCTTTACAGCATCCATACATCTCTGGGCTTTTCTCAGACCTGAGCCTTCAGGTGGTCCATGCAGCTATAGACAAACTCAGCATCCCTCTGGGCAGAGACTGAGTGCAGGTTGTCTTTGCCTTAGATACATACCTATAGTCTTTGTACATGTTGTCTAAATACCCATCACAGGATCTTTGATGTACTTTGCTCCTAAATGGGAGATGCTGGCATGACAATTGCTACCATTTCTATGGAGTTAGGGTATAGGAGAAATAACAGAAGTCTGCTGTATTTCAACCATCAGTCATGGGATTGTTTTATGAAAGGACCAACAAACAATATGCAGGAGGAGGAATGCACGTTTAGGGGTCTTGAGTCACTCTCAGGGATGGCACTGGTGGAACAGTGTCATGGGAGGGCATGGAGAGGTGTCAGCTACAGCAAGTACCATCAGATGACGAAGGGCTTTGTGGCCATCCCATCTCTACTGATGATCCCTGCTGTGTCCAGGGGATCATCCTGGTGACAGCTGGGTGTCATAGAATGGCTTGGATTGGAAGGGACCTGGAGGATCATCAAGTTCCAACACCAATGCTGCAGATAGGGCCGTATCCCACCACGGAGCTTTCTCCCCACATACATACAAGTGTCAAGGACATAGCTGTGCAAAGCCACACCGAGAAGCAAACAACTCGTCCCATCTCAGGCGGGAAACAGAACTGGTGAGAAATCTCCGGTAAAGGTCATCCACTCCCACCCACATCTTTTCCTGCACTGCACACAGAGATTTGCACAGCTCCGGGTAATCATAACCCCTACAAAACCCAACGTTCACCCTCCCAAGGCCTTCGGTATCCAATGAGACCACGCTTCATGCCAGAAGATCCCAGATAAATGGACAGATAATGCTGCAGACAATCAGTGACCAAAACAGAACGCTGCTTGTCATCTCCCACCACACTGCTGGTGAAGTTTTCATTTTTTAAATTTCTTTCCCCCCCCCCCCAAAAAAAAGGTGGATATGAGGAAGACTATTCAAAGCATTTCTGCTTATGGTTAATTTCTTTTTAAATCTATATCACCCACAAAAAAAGAAAGATCGAGAAAAGTAACTAAAAGTAATTAATAGTTCTCCCGGCGTTTTATTTGTTCTTTTTTGTTGTTGTTTTGTTTGGTTGTTTTGTTAGTTCGTTTTTCCCTAGGGGAAAAGAGCATTGAAGAGAAAATAGTAAGTCAGAAAAACATGAAAACTTCCTCTCATGAATTTTCACCCATTTAAAAATGTCTGTTTATGGGGCTGTGAGCTACCAGGGAGGTGTCCCTGGCTGTAGCAAGGGGTTGGAACTGGATGATCTTAAAGGTCCCTCCCAACCCAAATCATTCCGTGATTTTTAATAACTGAAAGTGAGGAAACCTTTCTTTCTGATAGTCCTTGAGTATAGATAAGAAAACTATTCATCGCATTGCTAATACTTAACTAAAATGCTCTTCTGCGTTCTTTTTTTTACTCATTTCCTCAAGTCTACTCAAGTTCAAAACCAAGAGAATTTATTTTAAGAACATCTCAACAACCCAGAGTTCAAAACTGAATAAAAGTATTTGATGCAATGCAAAATTTTCCCAGCTCGGTTGCTGGCAAATTTTGAGTAAAAATATTCCATACAGAAGTCTCCCCGAGAGAATGCAGCATCCATCTCTGAACAAATGCATGACACACATGCACATCACATATATGTTGGATGCCTCGATGGGGCAGAACATAATTTTATTGGTCTTTAGAGGGGACATTTTGGCTCAGAAGAGCAGGATGCAGGCATAGATGATCCTGCAACAATGGTCCAAAGGGGGTTTCTGAAGATCCCAGCAGAGCTCACCTCAAGCAAAGCTTCCACTGACAACTGGGTGACAGATTTGTGATGGAGAATCAGGGATGTGATTGAAGTTTCTACCAATGCCATCTTTGAAACGGTTTGGAGAACATGCCCTACTGAAACAAATCATCAAGCTGTGCCTGGAGCCCCATTAAGGAGTCCAGTAGAGGTGAACATAAGTCTTTGCTGATCACAGGGTTTAGAGATCTGCCTTATCACAATGCTGGGCCTTCTCAGTGCTTTAGGGTGTCAAAAAAAACCCAAGACGGTGACAAAGTGGACCTGCTGGATACACACACCCTGTATTTGTTGCAGCAAGTGGGAGAATAGGATGGAAGTACCTGTTCAAAGCCAGGTGTGGCAAGACCTAATTTTCCCATCCTCGTTATGGTAAGCAATCCTGCATCACAGGCATGCTATCTCCTGCAGTTAGCTTCTTTCTGCTACCCAAACAAATGTTTCTTCTGATGTGAATGCAATAATGTCTTCTGCAATGGGGATGTGGATGACACAGATGAGCAGTCTTGGGATTGCATGGGCGTGCACGGGGAAACAACAAGACCGAATCTTGCAGAAAAGCAGAAGTCTCAACTCGTTATTTGCTTCACCCCCATGAAATTGTGCCATGGAAAAAGAACTTAAGGCCTGAGCAAGCCAATAGTGTTTCACTGTGAGGGCAGCTCCAAAAACCCCCAAGAAATCTCAAAATGACCTCCTTTACATTCAGACTTTAGAGGGGGTCCAGCAAAGTGTTTTCGTTGTTGACCAAGATTAGATATTTCACTTCATTTTAAAATTTCAGAAAGTCTTTCTTAAGAAAATGCATTTTAAAGGAAATGGTATTAAAAAAAAATGCGAAACTATAAAGACGTATTCTAAAAATGAAGGGTCTTGACTGCTGAAGTTCTCTTTCTCCAACCAGAAAGGATGAATGAAATCGGCTCACTTTAGACACGACGATTTAGTTATGCCAGATTTGCAGTTGTATAAGTGAGGAGGAAAAAAAGATCAGTTGAAATTTTCCCCCCAGATCTAGGCATGTCCCAGATGCATTAAATACTCCCGAAGCTTTCTTCTATCTCAACAAAATAGTTCATTACATTTCCAAACTAGGCAACCTTGGATTGCTTTGCAAGGCACAGCACCAGAGAATTACAGAAGAGCTTGATTAGATCAGCTACTCAAATGGGAATGAAGAAGCCATCGCTACTGTGACTGCCTTCCAGTTTTGCTGGGATTTGGTAAAGATGTTTTTAATGCTGTTTAAGTCTGCATGATTAGCGGGTCTGTTGCTAGGAGGTGGTTAGAAGTCAGAATTGAGCAACAATGTGCTGTGCTATAAACAGCACCAATCCCACAGAAGGGGTGTCTCAGAAAGAAGGCAATGCACACAGTATTGTGTCCCTAGCTAAAGTCATGATCACTCCTATGGCCAAAAGCTACTTCTCACATGGAGGGACCAGAGTGTGCATAGAGGAGTTAGAAAAGCAATGTAGAAAGTAGAGCTGGAAAGCACAGAGCAGTGAGCATCATGGCCTTCGTTGGAGAGTGAAGCAGATGGCTATGTTACACGTTGCATCTCTCACTGAAGACCTGGAAGGATCCTATTGGTAATGCTCAAACGTCATCCAGTTCAGGTTGGATATTAGGAAATATTTCTTTTCTGAATTAGTGGTTATGTGCTGGCACAGCTGCCCGGGGAGGTGGTGGGGTCACTGTCCCTGGAGGTGCTCCATAACCACGGGGATGTGGCACTGAGAGACGTGGTCAGTGGGTATGATGGTGATAGGTCATACTTCGTGATCTCAGTGGTCTTTTCCAACCTTCATGATTCTGTGAATGCCTTTTGAAGATGCTTTCATCATGGCCTCAGCCCCAATGCTGTGATGGCTGGGTGGGGATGGATCTACAGGAGCTGAGAGCCTGCAGCATGGGGATGGGGACGCACTGGAGAGAGGAAGGAGGAGGACAGGGCCAGGAGAAGCACACACAACTCTTTGGGTGCTGGGAGTATCTCTGGGGCTTACCAAGTATGAGCGATGTTATCACAAAGCTGCATCGCTGCATAACAATTTCTGTTGGCGTTTCAATCCAAAGCTTGTTCATGGCTTATAGGCAAGTTGGAGCGTGGCAAAGGGAGATCCACTCCACAGGCCAGCTCTGACTGAGGTCTAAATCCTGTGAAAATGGGCACAGCCTGTGCTCTTTAGCCAAAACCTGCAAAGCTCTGTTTTGAAATCCTTTGTGGGCACATTCTGGTGATCTGCAGGGATCTGGAGTGAGCCTGGCCCAGACCAACCTAGCCTTCAGCCATGGGGACATGAGGAAGGGCTGTGCCCTCAGTGATGGGGGCATGAGGAGATGGATGGGGTGCCCCTCCACACCACTACATTTGGTCAGCCATATTTCTGCCCTGGGATAGGCCCCTCCTGTAAGCCCTCCTTCTGGAGTTCAGGTGAGCTCTCACCAGCAAGGGAAGCCTTTTCCATGTGAAATTGATTTTGCAGGATCCATCAGCCCCTTGAGTCAGGCCTTAGTAGGAAAAAACCCCTTCCCACCATGCTCAGATGAGGCCTTGGACCATAGGGAAAGATGTACATCTCCATGGGGAAGGATAGGATCTCCACAGGGAAAGAAGGAATCTATATAGGGAGAGATGTACATCTCTAGCCCCACTTCTGAACACTTCCAATTGCTTGGAAAGCCGGGTCAGAAACAGCTCCTGAGCTCAAGACCCTTCCCCTGCTGATCACAGCAGTGTCCAGCTCCTACCAGCCTCCCCCACACATACACTTTGATCTCTTCCACTGCAGGCCCTAGAGGACAGGGAGGATGGGAGCATCAAGGCACACACACCTGGCACACATTTCTCTCTTTCAGCTGCAAACCAAGGGAAAAGCCTCCTTGAAAACCATCCCTTGGGACCAGATTATAGCTGCTCCCATCTTCCCTCTCTGTCCTATGGATCGAAGGGGAAGGAAACAGGGCAGGGAGATATCAAACGAAGAGGGAATGAAAGAGGAAGAAGGTAGAAGAAAGCCTCCCCCACCCTCAGGGAGATGCTCAGAGGGGTGGGATGAGCCCTACTTGCCTGTTTGCTATGAAGCTGCTCCTGGAGACACGACCTGAGGATGGGCGAAGCACTGGTCCAACCCATGACCGATGCTCCATGGGGCTGAGAGTCCTCAGAAAACTTCCCCGTTAGAGATCCCTGGCTCACACCACGTCCCCACCATCCACAGGACTGAAGGCTTTGAATGTGGCACCGCCAGGTTGCAGAAGCAGCCTGATTTTGTGATTGCGTTTAATGGACTTTCTTTTTTTAATCACGTCTCCGTGTCAGAACTGACTCCTTTCTTCCCTCAGAGGACTCCTTGCTCTATTTTAAATATTGGCATGATCCATCCAGGAGGGGGGGCAAGTTGCACTTCCCAGACAATCTGGCCAAAATAGCACTGAGGAAGGCGAGAAACTCAGAGAGAAGCCAGGCACAAAACCCATCAAAACCCACAGGCTACTAACAGCCGTCATTAAAATAAACTATGACGACTGTGAATGGGTTGTGTTTCCACTATGCAAACCACCAAGCTTTAGGAAACAGCTGAACAAACTGTTCACTTTGCAGTGATTAAATACAAAACGAAAAATAATAAAAAGACTTTTGCAGATGAAATGCATTTTGTTCCAGGGAGCCCCAACCCTCTATGAACCTACTCAACCATAGCATTGAAGGGGCAAGACTGTCTAATGACAAAGACCTGAACAGAGACTTGTGGGTGACTCTGAAGAAGTGACTTTCTCATTCTACCTCAGCACACTCAATAGGAAGGCTGCAATTTGTCTGTCTCAGGAGACGAATGTTGTATAAGGAGCAAAATTTGTTCCCACTGACTCCCGAGGCTTCCCATAGGGTGCCTACAGGGATTTTTTCTCCGGGGTATTTTCATTGTGTTTGTGGAGCAGACCTGCTGGGATGCTGTTTGTTGTCTTTAAGCTGTTGGAAGGACAGAGTCCCTCCCCCAAAAAAACACTGAGTGACCTCTGTGGGTTGTTTCATGCTGTGGTTTTGTAACATATGGGTCAGCAGGAGGGAAGGGACGCTGGGTCTCAGTGCTCTTGAGGTTGGAGAGACCTCATGCTTTGTTGTTCAGCCGCTCTCGCAGGGAAGACAAACGTAAGCCGACATCCGCTCAGTGCAGTGCACAGCCCCAAAGTCACCCACGTTCTGGTGGCGTTGTTGGCAGAGGAAAGGCTTTGTGGGGCAGCGCTGAGGTCAAAGCAAAGAACCCCAAATGGCCATAAGACCCAAGGACAGGACAGGGTTGGCTGAGGGCACTATGCTGTGCACGTGGAGAAGTCGGTCCAGGATGCAGGTGCCCACTGCCCCAGCGCTGCTTGTGGGCATCACCTCTGCAAGTGCTCTGTGCTCCTGGCAAAAGGAGAAAATCCCATGGAGGGCTGCAAGACTGCAGGACCTTAGGCTGGGCCTTAAATAGGAATCTGTGGGTACTTTATCTTCTCTGGGGCCGTTCCATGCCCCTCAACCGATAGGTGGCAGAGGCCAAGGTCAACACGGGTTCTCCCTGCAGACAACCAGGGCGGACACCAACTCAACTGCCCCCAGCCAGGCGTGTGCAGAACCAGGCTAGCTGTTTGCATACCGAGGAGATACAGAAATGAGGAAGCCCTTGCAGATTTGTCAGACCTCTCCCTCACCAGCTTGCATTCTGCCGTCCCCGCTCTCTTCCAGCTAAGGGCAGAGGAGAGGATGCAGAGCCAGAGGGGGCCAGGTTGGGGCTGGGGAAGGGGATGGCAGTGTCAGGGCTAGCTGGAGCACTTTGAGCTTTTGGGAAGGGCTTTACCCTTTGGCAGAGAGCTCATCTGATGTACCTGACTGCTCTTTGCTAAGTGAGCTTCACTTCCTACTCCTACAAAAAAGGAAGTTGCTTTTTTAGAAGGCAGCTTGCCATCCACCACAGAGGTAGGAAGGAGAAGCTGCCATGAGGTGCAGCAAAGGCTTAGAAATAAGACTGCCAAGTCATTTTGGGAAACAGGGTGACCTGCTTCTGATCTGAGACACATTTCCAATTCTGGCAATGGGGAAACCCAACAGCCACAGCCAGGCTGCTGTGCAGACCCTTCCAGTCATGGACACATTTAAAGCAACTCAAAGAGAGAAATTTAAATAAGCAGAATAGGTAAATCTATTGCATTCCAAGGAGATTTTTTGCTTCTGAAGGTATCCTGGCTGTGACACTGGCTGTTACCTGCAGGTTAGTCCTTCAGCTATTGCTTCCAGGTGCAAATCTCATGGCCCTGAGATGAGATCCAGGGTCCTGGAGTCCACACAAGTGAATCCCTTCTGCAGTTTGCTTACTTAGAAGTGATGAAGCATCAGCCTAAAGGTGTCTTTTGAAAATAACTGGTAGGAAATCACTCAGAAAGCATACAAAAAGGGCACTAAAAAAAAGAAAATGTCTTGTATGCAGTCCCCAGGTCACTCCAGATGGATTCCACCTGCCCCAAATTTCTCTATCCTGAAAATGCAGGCTGTTATCTCACCCTCCCAAGTAGGGGGATGGCAGTTCAGCAGTCCCTAGATGTTCTCCAGGAGCAGTGTGCAGTTCCACAGCTGCTTGCTCTCTGCTGCCTTTTATAGTCCCCCAAAAGCCATGCGTGGATCCCAGAGATCCAGCCTATGAGCTAAATCATAGGTTCATAGAATCATGAAGGTTGGAAAAGATCATTAAGATCGCCAAGTCCAAGCCCAACCCACCCCCACCATGCCCACTGAGCATATCCTTCACCTCCATGGTTCTTGAACAGCTCCAGGGGCAGTGACTCCACCACCTCCATGGCTCTTAGGTGCCTGTAAGAAAGACCTACCACTCCACAGGACTAATTTAGCCTAATTTATCATCTGAACCTTCCAGTTTCCACTCCCCTGGCAGATTAAAAGCTAATTTAAGGCAACACAGTGCTTCTTGATGAGGATGCTGATAAACAACTCTCCATCCTCCATTTTCATAGGAACTGTAGGATAGGAACCAAGTTGAAAGGGACTCACAAGGATCACTGAGTATAACTCTTGGTTCCACACAGCACCACCCAAAATCCAAACCATATGTCTGAGATGCCCAAATGCTCCTTGAGCTCCAGCAGCTCAGGGCTGTGACCACTTACACTTTCTGACGTCTGAAGGCAGCACCTCCAGTGGTAAAATAGTAAAATCTTTCACCTTTCAAAATACGGTGGCTGCTGGCAAACTCCTTGTTAGGACTTTTCAGGGCTCTCCCTTGTTTAACCTGTTGAATAATCATGTGGGAACTGCATGGCTACCCCAAGGGACGGGGATGAAAACACAGCAGCGGCTTTGGCAGAATCTGTTCTCCTTGCACCCAGGAGCCTGCCCATGTGGAACAAGCTCTCTTCCCCAGCCCTCCCTGCCAGGCTGCTCACATCATGCCTATTCTGGTTATTTGCGTCAGTTGAGACCCTGACTGACTGGTATTCTCCCTCTGGTGCTGGAAACAAATGAGAATTTCTGACGCGTGTTTGCTGCAGTCATGTCTCAAAGAGCTGCACACTTCTTCCTCTGCCTCTCAAGTGCTGAAGGCCAAATACGTAAGAGATATCTGGGAAAAAACTCTGACATAAATGTCAAGTAAAAGCTTTTATATCAATTTCTCCTTTTGTTTAACACGGCCTCGGATCTCTCTCCATCCATCACGATGCCTTAATGTTTCCATCGATCTCATTTAACCTGTATTCAAAGCCCATTTGTTGCCATAGAATGGCTCGGGTTGGAAGGGATCTCAAAGATCATCCAGCTCCAACCCCATTTTGAGCTGTGCTGCCCCTAATATTCTTGGTTTCAAGCCATTCACTGTGAGCAATTATTCACGTAAATACAGAAGCCATTGTGGCTCAGGTTCTGGATAGGACCAACCTGACCTGAGGTAGGTCCTACAACATCTTAGCTCCTCTGCCCACAGAAGGGTTTCCCTTTTCCCCACTCCCTCACTGAGAAGGGGGGTACCCTCTTATGGAAGCAACCTGTGAGATCTGATGGTCCTTCACCACTTGTCACCATTACCTGGGGAAGTACAGGGGTCTGAGAAAAGAGCAAGCTACGACCTTAAGTGCACTAGGATACATCATAGTGCAGGAAACGGGGACCCTGGTGATTTGGACAGTTAATTGCCTCATTTTCCTCTTGGCCATAAAGACCTTTATACAAATAACACCAGGAGTTTGTGCATCCAGCCTTTAACCTCCAAGATTTGCACATCCAACCTGAAGCGGCCCAGATGCCCCAGACAAACAAGTAATTTTTCACTCTTCTTCTCTCATCAGAGAAGCAAAGGGCTCATTTGTATTTCTGCTCTATCTCCTATGTGCCTGACATGCCAGATCCCGCGCGCTGCTTTTCGATCAGCAACAGATTTCTCTGTTCCCAGAGGAGCAGAATGTGTTCTATCAGATTCTGTCAAATCAGACAAACAATTTCATGAGTAAATACAAGTTTGCAGGGGGTAAACAGTAGAGAGTTTCAAAAAGTTTGCTTTCCTTCAGAAACGATATACGTTTTAAAGGGTTGTAGGTTCTAAAAAACCCGTTCAGCATGGGGTTGGAGATGATTTCCAGAGGGCCCTTCCAACCCCTATGATTCTGTGAAATATAGGACTGATGCCTAAACGGTCATCTAACCTGTCCAGTAGGCCTGTATCATTTCTGAGAGACTGCCTAACTTGTGCTCACAGGCTCTCACTGATGGAAATTCCCACTGCTCCCCAGGCAGTTTGTCCCAGCCCTCCATTTCTTACATCCTTAAGATGATTTCTTATTATCAGCACTAATTACCTTCATTGAAAGCTCCATCTGCTTATCCTGTCCATCACAGACGTGAAGTTTATTCCCTCCTTTTCTGCAGTGCCAACGACACACATCAAACAGCATCGCTTCTTGCAAAAATCCTACATTGTTCACCCTGTCTGCACCTTTGCTCAGCTGTGTGCCTCCGCTTTGGGCATTTTATAATTGGGTTTGGAATCTTGAATAGGCAAAACCACAATGTTTTCCAAGTTAAAACTGACCAACATTAACAAAAGCAAAATTACTCTGCAAAACCCCAGAAACATTGTTCTCCAGCCCGGTTGCAACATTTTCTTGGAAGTGATTATAATTACGAGTCCATTTTTTATTTCGACACGAGGAATTGCTGTCTTTTGGGCTTTGTTTTTTGGGGGGGGGATTTTTTTTGGCTGGCCGGTGGAAGGAATTCAAGTGGGCTTAGTGATATGGAAGAAGGCTGATCTCTGAGAAGCACAGGGCTTGTCCAATATAAAGCACTGGAGGTCTGCTTTATGCTCCCGCCGGGTAAGCTGCGCTTTAACATTTATTTTTAAGCAATAACCATGACCCTGAATATCCTGTTTCACGCAGGGATGTACTTTCTTTTGAGTTCCATGGTTACATTTGACGGTGTAGCTAATTCTTCCACAAGTAGCAGGACCCTGAGGCTGTAATCTCTTGCCAAGACCTCTGGAAAAGGAGAATTCCATCCATCTTTATCCCCTCCGCTACTTCTAATCTCTGCTGTTTGCCATCTGCTGTAACCCTAACACAAAAGCTGACTTGCACCATAGAAGATGAATAAGTGAATGGAAAACTCGGGGTTGCTGATGGCTCCAGCAGGATTTAGCCCCAGAGATCTTGCAAAACATTTGCCTGTGGTTGAACTCTCTGGGTCTGCGGGAAACTATTGACTGTAAGGGAGCTGATCCACACGGAGTCAATGCTTGGTTGCCTCCTGCATTTTGTCAAGCAGGAAGAGCACCAAGAAAACTCCCTTTTTAGCATAGAGAAAATGGAAAGAATGATAGGAAGAAAGGAAGAGAAATAATGATGAATTAACA